ATATATTATTTTTTCTTTACTTACTTTCTTTTTCTTTTGATTATGAAAGGATATGGTTATCACAAGTTAAATATATAACTTTTAAATAGTTTAAAATTTACATACACTATTATTGTCAAATATTTTTATACATATATTTAATGTAAAAATATAAACGAAATCCTGCTTTATGTAAAAATAAAGAAGGTAAAATTCAAATTTAATAATCATTTTAAGGATAAAAGAATATAAAATGTAAGAAGTTTAAAACTAAAACGTTACTTGAAGTTGTGTCTTATAAAACATTACAAACTATTGAAATAAGCTTGTTCTAGTAATTGATTAAACAACTTTTTCATTTAGTCAAACAAGTTAATTAGAAACTTACTTAAAATGCTTGCCAAATATATTATTAATCCCTCATGTCGTTAATCCATTAATATGATATGAAAATAAGTTGATTTTCGAATTTCTATTACATATATCTCTAAAAATATTTTATATTAATACCATATATAAAAATTAATTTCTTTCTTAAATTTAATTATTATTATAATCTTAGTAGCTTTTCAAGTAATTAAAAAAACAAATATAATAAGATTATGATGAAAATTAGTATAAATATCAATTAATATTTTTTAAAAATGAATCAACAAAGTATAAATAATTTATAATTATAAATATTTTTTTAAATAAATGTTATCTTATCCATATCCAATTTCTTTTAAACTATATTTAGATATGATGTCCTACCCGATGTTCCTATCTTAATCTGTGTAACATGTGACTAAAAAACAAGTAATATATAGACGAAATTATTGTTAGAAAGTAATGAGACCTAGTTAAAGTAATTGAAATTCGAATAACTAAAATTATTGGATAATTATGATACTTGAGAGATTGAAAAATTAGTTAGTCCAAATAAGTAATATATTTTAATAAAAATATTTTAAAAAAACATCGACATAATATATTAGGATTAAGTAGTATTATTATATTAGATTCAGTCATTTTAAACGATTTCAAGTTGAGTTTTGTGAATGAAAGATGAAAAATAAAGAATACTAGCTAGTACATATTTCGTACCAATATTAATCGGTCATATTTTTTTAACAAAAATTAGTCATCCATAAAATTAGTGAATATTTTATATTACTAATATAATTATCAAAAAAATATATTAGGATCAAATCAACATTAAGCTTTAGGTCTAGTAGAATTTTTTTATTATTTGTCTTTATAAAATAAAATAAAAATCATATATATTAAGAAAAATGTTTAGAATACAACGTTCTCATTTAGAATAAAAGTTTTGTCTCAAAATTTATTTTAGGGTTATTACTAGTTGTTGACCCACCCTATATACATAATATAAAGATGTGTAAGTATGATTGTCCTTCTTGTTAAAATTTCGTGGTGGTCTAGGTAAGTGAGCATTGGCACGTGCAAGCCATAATAGGTCAATCAGGACGTCTTGCCAATGAGACCTTACGCTTTTGGCTTTGCTTCTTGTTGAAGATGACAGATACAGTGGAAGACAAACTGGACCTGTTCCTGTGGGGAGATTACATGAACCCTTCATCAGATTCATTTAATTAGCTTCTGAACCATGGCCTACCATGCAACACCATCAGCATCATATATTTATCCAACTTGTCTTTCAATGTCTCTCCTTCTTTCTTATTTCATGTTTTAGAATATGCTACGTTCAAAGTCACTGGTCATTCCTTGTTATATCATGTCTTAGAATATATATGTTACGCTTAAAGCGATTGCTACGTACGTTCAAACTAAAGCTCAAGTTGTATAGAATTGTTGTTAAAAAAAAAAAACAATAATATGGAAATTATTTGTCATATATTTGTGCATTTTTAGTTTTTAATTACTTTATAACCGATCATTCTAACTTTATTTAAAAAGAAAAATGCACTGATGAGGCAAATCGCTGATTTTATTGCTTTACCAAAATTTCCCTGTATCTATCTCTTTTGAAAAGTCTTATAGCGTGTTTGTCTTTGTTAGGTTAATTATAACCTGTTTTATAGCTTTATGGGTTCCTTTTGCCTTTCTAAAATGAAATTGCCAACTGTATTTTAATGTTTTTATTTATATTTAATATTTTTTACATGTTTATTTGGAAAATAATTATTGATAACTTGTATCAAATCCAAGCCGAAAGAGAGGCTTAATTATATTTGATATCTGACGATATATTATCTTGTAAGAAAGATATATTAACGGGAATAAGAAGACCCTTTACAAGACTTTTTAATGAGTGGCAGGACGTGAGAATAAATTGAACTTTATTTGGTACAAAAACGACTTCACTATTATTGGCAAATGAAATATAAATTTTATAATCCACAGAAACTGATAGCACAAGTTGATGATAAAAATACACGTTAAACATTAAGTACATATGTCATGTGGTATATTTGACTATGTGCATAGCTTTCGCAGTGGTACGTGGAGGCACTACTACTTCCCGATGGAACAAAACCTTTTGGCAAGACCAAATCCCTTACCCTATGAATGGAGTATCCAGATATATATATATTCCTTATTGATATTCCAATATATAATACTACCATTTGAAATACTAGCTACCAACTACTAATCTATTGTAAAAGATTAATTATATAAAATTATTAATGATGAACTATAATAATTAATTAATATTATTTCCTTTTACAATAGCTGCAATGAGGTTCAACATAAGTTCTCACGTGTTTAGTTTAATCTCATCGCTAAGCTGATACTAATTGTGCCAGTGATATATATTAACTTAGTACAACAAATTTTGCATACTCACTACTTGGGGGGTGTGTTTGTCAAAATTAACTTATAATTTGGTCAAAAATTTATATGTAGGTTAAAAGTGAAAAAAAGATGAAAATTTTTGAAAACTTATTAATTAATTGATTAAATTAAAAGTGTTTAATAAAATTAATCCATAAATTAGTTGATTAATATAAAATAACATATTTATTTATTTAATAATAAAGTGAGAGATTAACATCTAATCAAATGATTTCTAAATTGAAAGGATAAGAGGATATTCCAACTAATTTAATGGTCATAATAAAAGGAAAAATGTTAAGAATTGATAAATTACTTTAATTAACTCATTAAAAATAAGTTATAAACTTTTAAAATAAGCTTGTGTATTAAATAATTTTATTTTGATAAAAAAAACTTATAAAATTAATTAAAAGAGCTTATAAATTTTTTAAATATGTTGCCAAAATCACCCTTAATTTATATTTATGCAATATTTTTTTATATGACTTTGTTTGTTTTAAGAAAGAATATTAACCATAACTTTTTGATAAGAGTGTAAATGATTTAAATTATATATAACTATTACAATTCAGTTCATTAAATGTTTAATTAATACGATTTATAACTAGTTAAATAAATAATTTTAAACATAAAATTATCCTTTATTATTTAAATGAATTAAATTTAAACTTTGTAAGTTTCACAATATTAGACTTGTCAATAACTCATGTATTATTTAGATAGTTTTAA